GCTGTGCTTTATTCTCCCATAGAATATATGCATCTCATTGTTTGTATAGTGAAACAATATTTATTTATGGTACATAATTTCACAGTTTTATTTTATAATTATAAATTGTTTTTTGAACTCAAGTGTCTCATATTTGTAATAAATATTCATTTGATGTGTTGAACTTGTATTATTTCTAAAATAAAAACCTCAGTCTAATATTTTTCATTCATGCATGTTAAAGCAGTATACAACTTATTTACTTAATGTTAGTTAAGAAATGTGTAAGTTCTGTTTATTTCTGATTTTTCAGTATCAGATGAAACTATTACTTCCGATGTTGATAGAAGCTCACACATAGTGCCTTCTGAACCCATGATCACCTCCTATAAAGACAACCCACTTCCAACAAAACCCCATCAGAATATTTCTCCTTCAGAACCTATGCCCACTACTCTACTTTCAGAAAAATCTCCTCAGAAAACTAATTCTCAACATAGCACAAAATTAGAAACAGTAGATTCTTCAAATCATGCTGGTCACCAAACTGAAACTGTGCTTGAAAACATGCACAAGGCAGAAAGAATCCAAATTATTCAACCAGAAGAAACAACAAGCTTATCAAAAAAAACTGTTTCCCAGGATTTAACAGCCCCCAGAAATAGGTAAAAATTTTGTGATTTGTGCAAAATATTTTGATACAAATTCTGTGATGTATAAAATTTATATATTGAAGAAAAAGAACCATCGTTTTAAGTTTTTTTTATCATAAGTTATTCTAAGGCTTATGATAAAATTGTTACCAAATAATTCAAATTACAAAATTCATTAAAGATAAATAATTTTAATACTTTTAATGTATATAAATTTCTTCAATTTCAAATATGTTTCACATGAACATTTTTGATATCCCCTACAAGTTTTGTCACTAGTACCAAGCATGTACTTGAATATGAATCTGAGTTAACAATAATTCATTTCTTTTCATCTAATAATCTGAAAGTTTATTTTAAAAAAAGGAGCATTTCATAAACAGTGAAAAGAACATGGGCTTGGGTAGAAAAATGTGGAAACATCAAGTAAATTGGAGTTAACCGAGTAGAGTTACCAAACGTAGTTGAGAGAAATAGAAAACTTTTAATGATGTCATCCCACAGTTGTATTTGTTTAAAATTGATATGGTTTGAAAAATCTCAAATTTTCTGAAAAGTGCTTAAATACATCATATGTTTAAAAAAAAAAGGTGAATCAAGAAGTTTTAATTCATGTTTGTTTGTTCATAAAATTAAGATTTATTAATCATGATGATATTTATCTTAGTATATAGGACCTCTAATGCTTTATTTTTTGACATAAACTGTCTTTAGGTATATGTGGCTTTTATGCTTCACCAGCTTAGAGTATAACATTGTTGCATAAAAAAGATAGTTTGACTAGTACGCCACTGCCAGAAAATTTATACTTTGGTAATTAAGCTTACAACTGGTTACAGAGGAGCTTAAAATCAAAGAATTTGGTATATTTATCTCCACCATTAAAGGTGATGGAGGTTATGTTTTTACTCATATGTGTTTGTCAGCAAGATTTCTCCAATGGCTGAATGGATTTAGAAAAAAGATGGTATGAACTTAGACTATGACCCAATTTAGAAGTGATTAGTTGTTGAAGGGTCAGGGTCACAGGAAGTTCAAGAAAACCCAAAAGATCCCTATCTGTTAACATGGGGACTGATTTTCCACACTATTTTTGCTCAATAACTCAGTCACAAGTGATCAGATTTTGATGAACCTTGGTGGGCGTGTGTAGAATATTATTCCTTATTGTCCTGTCAAAAAAATGGTTCATATCCATTAATAATGATAGACATATGGATACATTTTCATATTTTTTTGTGGGCCAAATATAATCAACACTGCCTGGTAGAGGTATGCCCACTACTGAGTGCCGCTCTAGTTACTTTCTGTCATTACTCAAGCTATGTTTGGTTAAAGGACTACTGGTAATATCATTACATTAAACTTTTGTAGTATGCAACATGTAATGTGATGCCATATTCATTGTATCTTTTAAAAGTCACTTAGCTTTTATCCTTTTTGTTTTTCCAAACAGGTATAGGTCAACAAATTATGTTACTAGTACTCATTCAAAAACTACTTCAGCACCAGAAAATACTGCTGTACAACCTAACTCTGGGACCTCTGCTTCTTCAATTCAAACATATGGGCACAGAGGTGAGGAACTGATAACAAATGTTTTATTGATTTATTTATGAAATTTATCAGTCGAAGTACTGCAGTGTTTTTCTAACACTAGTTTTAACCCATTAAACCTGATAGCCAGTGTACTGCCACCTCTGACCTTTTGTAACTACGCAAGAATGGAATAAATTGCCAAAAGGAACATAATCTCAGTTTTCAGATGGTGTATTTATAATTCTATAATATCAGAAACTGAAACTAGCTTACGAGTTTAATTTTTACAGGCATCACCAACTTTTGCAATTCATTGTTTCAAACTGTTTGAGCTAAAAACAATATCCGCCATCTCAATAATAATTACAACAGGAGTCAAAAATCACAAATGAGGGCTAACAGTTTTGATTTTTTTAAATTACTTTATCCATAACAATTTTTATAAAGTTTGCATCAAAAAGAAAATCTTACACATTTTATTTTGGAGATACTTTGAGGTGTATATTACATATAATCTTTCAAAACTTGATGTTGTCATTTTGCCCCTGTAAAACCTGAAATACTTATCGGAAAGGGTTAAACCACATCTACTAGTGTAGGATTTGTAAATTAAATAATTTTAAGACAAGATAACTTTGACCTGCTAAACTATAATTATGGTATAAATAGCATTCATCAGTCATGCAAAGATTTTACAATTCTGTTACAAGTTGACTGTAATTTAAATGTGTGGTGACTTATGGAAAATTTTGTTCTTGATAAAATCATTATCAGGGATGAAAAATGAAGTTTGTGATAACTAAATTGCAGATGTTTCACTTAACCCTCTTGCTACAGGTATTGTTTTGTGTGCATGTCACAAGATTTTACGGAGTTACATTTTAAATGTAATTAAAGTACTTTATTATCATGGTATATGAATAAACTTGGCATCAAAATATAGCTAATAAGCCAAATTTTAATATCATATAAGTTTTGAGTTCTAAATCTTATAAGGCAATATTTTTAAAAATCCTCAATTTCCCTTAGTATGAGAATTGCAACATTTGCTCGCTAAGTATCCCCTCTTCTCTAATTTATTTACCACCCTTTCAAGGAGTTTGAAATTTAATGTAAATCACCCATTATAATATTTTCATCTCTCAGGCAAATCATAATTCTTGTAGCCTTCAATCTTGTTTGGTTACAGAGCCATAAACTAGAAATTCAGACCCCCTCTTGCCATGCCCACTTGTCAAATCCTCTCTTTCACAAGTTTCCAATAGTTCTCTCTGACATTTAATTCTATATTATTTATAATCAATAAAAAGCAAATGTTTGTCTATCAGATGATGTATTATATTACGTTTTTTGTACAGAGAATTGTCTATTTTGCTTCTAGTTGAAACTTTATTCCCACAGGATACATACTGGTGAGCTTAACTGAATTTTTAACAGCTCTTGTTGCATATTTAGAAAGCCAAAAATAGTGATTATTATCTGATGTGCCTGCATTTTGTGTGTTTTCTTTACATTTTTCTAATTACATAAAAAATGATTTAATGCAGTAGTATTATAAATATAAAAAAGTAGGGTTAAGTTTCATTGACAGTCGACAGCAAAGAAAAAATAAGACCCAGGTAAGTACTATATTTCTTGTTTTTTTTATGTGTATTCTTTATTTATTATTATACAAGTATCTAAAATATAAAAATAAGAAGCTTTTTAGGCTAGATAAGTTTAGATTGGGTAAAATAAAGAATAATAATAATAAAATGTTCACAAAGTATGCTTGTGAGCAACTCATGATTAACCTGTGTGTTACATGATTCAATAAGGTAACATGAGCTACACATTTGCTGGGTGATTTACAACATGTATGGTGGGAATATTAGTTAAACATGGTTCACAGAACAATAAAGTTTAAGTATAAACAATTGTATACTGTTACAAGTTTAATGTTATTTAAGATAAACAAATACAGTTTGATATTACAATATGAAGTCATTCTAGAAAGAAAAAATGAGGAGTTTAGATTTATTTTGTATTTTTTTATGTTGGATATGAGGTTAGTCAAATTAACCATCCTTTTATAGAGTTAGGGTAAAGAAAATAACAGATAAAATATAAAGTTTTACGGCACTGTCATCCCTACATCATATGTAATTTTTGCAATTTTTTATTGCTTCTTCTCCTCTCTTCTTTTTAAACAATTTCATTAAAGTAGGTTGACAAGTGAACATTTGTTTTATTTTTATAATTCAATGGCAATATATATTGTTAATATCATATCAGTTTCTTCATTTCACTTGACCTCAGATATTAATATTATACCATATTGGCTATAACAGATTATTAATCATCACTGGTCATAATCTTGACTTCTTGGGACTTAATGTTGAGGAACCTACAATAAGGAAAAAAACAAACTGAAAAATGTATAGCTGTATCATCCCTATATTCATGTTTGCATTCTTTTTGGCACTGCTATCCCTACATCATTTTACATTTAGAACATGTTTTTATTACGTGTTTTGTGACATTATTTTCCCCCGACTGAAAGTTAGTATATTCTGAGTGTGTGTAATAAAATTTAACATTGTGCATCTTGATTTTCTTTTTTACTTCTTCACATCATATATAATATAGGGATTGGCTCCCTAAAGTGTACAAAGCATTGATTATTATACATGTTACAGTTATCTAATCATCATCTACCATTGGCTGGTAACTTGTGTTCGACCTTGTACTTAAGCTTTTTAATTAAAGGAACACCATATTTCTGTAAGTTTACACTAGAATTATTTTTTTAGTTTATACTAAGTACTACCATGCTTAGTGATAGCCTGTTCCCAAGTACTCTTAAAATAATTTTCTGTCATACTAAAGCCATGGCAAAAACTTCACACATTTTTTGGCTAGAGTGGAAAAAGATGAACACTTTGGCTATTTACATAGTTCATAGTTCTCCTCTTTAGTAACACTTTTCAATTATATTGGGAGTTTCACAAGCTGTGAAACACTATTACAGCAATTAGGTGCTCAAATAATGCTATAACTCAACTTTAGCAGTTATTTGTATACATCATAGAGTAATAGATTGAAGGCTGCAGCCATTTTTATCTCAGCCCACCCTTACATATTAAGCTCTTCCATGCTTAGTGATAACATATAAATATTTTGAGGTGGAAAATGTCCATTAAATGTACAGGTTTTTATAATTTCCCTTTGTCAAGTGGTTTGTTATAATGACCTCCTATGTTAAATAAAACACCAGAACTTTTTTGATGTAACAAATATATAAAGCTTCATGAATTACACAGGCCTGCAATGGTTTCATTGTCTTAAAATTTTTACATGTTCTACAGTAATTCCTGTATGCTAAATCCAAAAATGATATCCATTTTTTCCATCACGTACAGATTTTTCACAAAACATCATAATGTAATACATAAAAGAAAGACTACAACACGTAGTTTTGAGACTAAAAGATGTAGATTTCACACACAAAAAAATGAGGATGCATATTTGTTTGACATTAATGTTCTTCGCTTTTATTCACTTTGTTTGTATTTTTGTTAACAAACATAATAACAAAAAATGTTCATTGTGGTAAACAAAATAATAATTTGATCTAAATAAGAGTTTTTTTCTTCCCGATTTGTAAAAAATCCTTATGTGATAGAAAAAAACGAATATTATTTTTGAAATTTGCATAGCTAAATTATGGAAAATCCATTATTAAAACCGAAACAACGTTTATGAAGTTTAAATTTGCAGGCCTGTGTAATTTAATAAAATTACAATTTTATAATGACATGATGTATATAAAATAATCATTACTATATTAATTGTATGCATCAACATCAAAAAGTATGCATGCTCAACAGTGTAAGTTAAATTATAACTAAGGTAAAAGAAATCACAAATATTACGATTTACAGTTAAGGCTTGTAGCTATCCAGTACCTTTATTCTGAGGTAATAACTTTAATATAATTGATAAAAAGTGGTGATATCTCAATATAAAATCAATACAGCTTAAAACAAAATATGTTCAACATTTCGTTTACACTGATGTTTTTCATCATGAATAACATGTATGTATATCACTTAATATAGTTACATTACTTTCCCCTTGTATGTATGTATATATATAAACACACACACAGTGATTTACCCCACTTACACATTGTATCTGTTGTTATTTGTTATTAAGCACAAAAAGCTACACAAAGGGCTATTTGTGCTCTGCCCACCACAGGTATCAAAACGCAGTTTCTAGTGGTATAAGTCTGCAGACATACCACTGTGCCACCGGAGGGGCATTGTATCTAATCATGGCATCAACCATAACCCATATTAGCCATTTTGACTTTAATACTGAGCTTTAATATACTGTTCAAACTTTAGAATATGACTCACATATACAAGCTTAAGAAACATTAAACCCAGCACAATATTCCAAATCTGAAATTTCAAAATAATTATTCATCAATTCTATAGTAAATTAATTTAATCTAAATATTAAGTGTAGTAACACTAAAGAATAGAGTAAGTGTCATACTGCTTTTGAACTTCATTAAAGGCATTTCTAATCCTTCTATAAGAATTCTCTATTTCTTCTTCTAACAAGTTCTGCACCCTCTGAAGTGCAACAGTCTGCCTAGAAAGGTCTTTCAATGATTTTTCAAGTCCTGAAAAGCATTGGAAAAAAAATAAAAAATAATCTGCTTAAAATGTTCATTTCCAAAACAAACCAGCATTTTTTTTAATACAGGTATTTCATAACTAAGATATTTTGAATGATTGTTTATACTGAAATCAGAACCAACTTTAGAAGCCTAACCAGTGATAAAACTATGGGAGATATTCAGAAATTAGTTACGAGTCAGATTTCATGTTGTAGACCTATAAGAAATATTACTTTCTAACTTCATAAGCTGTTTATTTAATATCAGACTTCAAATATATATATATTGGCTTTAATTCTTTTATAATTTTTGTTATTGGAGCCATTCATACACTGAAAAAAAGCCATGTTGATTCAGACAACAGAAA